TGGAAGTATCTGATACCTGTTAGCTGACATGCGGCCAGGCTAGAAAAGAGCTAGTGGCGGTCAAACCAAGACATGGTACCAGTCAGTCAAATCCACAACAGTTAGTTTAAGTCATGTAGGAAGGTGAAGATTTCCTGGTTTGGGTCCTCGGGATGGTAAAAACCAGTGGTTGGAAACAGTTGGTAATATGGCTCAAAATCGTTCTTAATGGCTAGCGCAGATGTATCCACTCCTTCTGATTTATAATTTCCAATGAAAGTATATTGTTCTTCGTTATTACTATTCCTTTATCTCACACCTCTGTTTACTGTCTCCATTATGCATTTCTTCTACTTTCTTCCTTTGCTTTGTGTGCTACATGGAGTGTGGCAACTTGAACTGCTGTACATCGATGCAAAGTTCTATGTCAAAAACAGACAGACAGGTACCTGTTACCCAAGAGGTGGTTCCTGGGGATAATGCTTTGGAGTTTGAACGATGCGTATTGGGTACCAGTCTTACAGTGAACATCATCACTCACTGGTGACTACAGACAAATCCACCTTACGACTTCCAGACAGGATAACATACACATTCTGGATTCTACTGCTAGTCATCATTCGCCAAATAATAATAAAAACTGACTGGTCCCTGAAATAATCTGAACTATTAAATTGTAAGTTACCACAATTCTATATTATTAAGAATTTTATAATGTAAACAAAACTAACGAAATGTTACCACAATCATTAGTGCGTAGTTCAGTTTATTATCACAGTTATTAATCGTAATATGCCCATGTTTGTTAACTATATTGGTTATAATGAAACACAACAGAAAGATTTTCATGCTTCGACAGGACAACAAAGTGAGCATGGATGTGAAGTTGATCAAACATTGCCATTTCAACACCGCTGACTTCATTATGAGAAGACAAAGACTGCAGTAAATAATTTAAGACTTCCAGTGACCACCTTTTTAAAAAGGCACAAGCACAAGGCTAAAGACTAACTGACTGCGTTTCCAATGCAGAACTTTGGACAAAAATTGCAGCAATTCAAACTACAACACACTTCGAGAAGTACATAAAAAGGTAAGTAGAAAAAGAAATGCAAAGAAACTACGACAAAATGGAAATGTGTAAGAGAAAGAATAATAAAATCGCAAATAATGAGCATTGAAAACATCTACGAGACCACTAAGAGGGAATGCACCTTGTGCCGATGACAACAATTTTGAGTCATCTCTCTGGCAATATCTAGCTATTGATTTTTACTGTCTCGATGACCTCACCTAAGCAGTCCACACCTCCCTAGGTAAGTCAAACCAACAGTAAAAGACTTCAGGCTTCATCTATGCCAGACTTTCTTCTGACATTCTAACCATCTTAATCGATGTAGGTTCACAACCTAAGTGACTGACTTGTCCTCTCTTTACCTTACTCACTCTACTCCTATCCTCCGTATTACTCACCACCATATTATACCTACACTTAACATGGGATACAGAGCACTAACATCTATAGTCAGAGATAGCTAACCTCTTCAATTCTTTCATTTTCGACAATTATGTATCAGTCACAAAATACTGGGCCAGCTACATACACGTCCTCTGATTGATAATCAGATATCACGTGTATGCCACAGATCAGGTTAGTTAGCAAGTACCAGGGAAGTCTTGCCTAACGGGACTGACGTGTTGTCAGTAATCAGTTCATCAGAGCTGATGTAACTTCTCAAGTAAATGAAGGCGTCAACACATTCAACTACTTCGCTATCTATCTTTAAACTAAGGAGTCTATGACATCATCCTACATCTAATTTTCATTTTTTTTTCTTCACGTTCCCCGGTGGAACATAGGGTTTCAAGCTAGTGGCTTGAAGTTTCTGTAGCAGTGTTTATTTTACAGGATAGGGTCGCTAGCCTCATGCCCAACCTTTCCTCTTTACCAGCATTATTTCTGGCTCAGCGAGGTAAAGCAGTGCGTCGAACCCCGAACCATGTGCATAGTCGGTGAGCGTCCTAACCGTTATACCACCGACGCACATCTTACATTTAATGACAAGGATAAATTGCGCACCAAATATATCAAGACTTCTCCAAAATTGATGAGACTACTAATCTAATAATAATAGTAGGGTGTAGCAGGTCGTGTGTGAGGACAAATACTCGCCGAAGACATTAGCTAGGGATGGCGCTATGTCGTGAATTGACAGAAGTTAGAATTCATGGGCTGGCCATTAGATCGGGTTCAAATGGCTTAAAGGTATACGAGCTCGCCTTGTAACCAGAAGGTCCTGGGTTCGAATCCCGGCGGGTGCGTACTGATGAAGAGTCCCAAACTAGGACGAAACAGGTGTTCAGTACTCCCAGCTGGCTTTCCAATGGTTCTCTAACGGATGTCAGCTCATGATGAAATCCTGTAACCAATCAAATACCCTACAAACCAACACTCGAATAATAATAATTTTACCAAGCCTATATCTATCCTATATGAACTCAAAATAATCCAACAATTAATTCCCACAAATCCAAACATTAATTTTAAAAGGTCCAGGGCAAGGATATGTAAACCAACGCAGAGACAACAGAAAAAAAAACAGGAAAATATTTTAATAGGTTCCAAATGGATTTGTATTGATCAAATAAAATTTCAACTAATTTTTACAAATATAACTCTTTTTCCGTTACCTACATATTTAACGTTTTAACATTCTTATATGTCCTTTTGGACTTAATCCCTATTATATCTCTCTAATTTTTGGTTGATCCCTTTTTTAATGCTTCACTTTGCTATTTGTGTAGTGATATGCTTATTTATGTGTGTGATTTTGTTTGAGTGAAATCAAGATTATGCTTTAGAGTGACAACTTAACATTGGATTGTCTTTAAGAAACACATGTCTTGTCCACTATTGATTCTTGAAGACGAAGTTTTCATCTCACCCCTTGTTGGTTGAAAATATTCTTATTGATTTTCAGGTAATTAAAAATAATGTTTGGTTAATTAATTTTTTTTGTGCAGTGCATATTTTATACCTGAGAAACTATTGGAATGTATACCTGCTAAACGGTATTTATTGAGGTAGTTTTGTATATTTTCAGAGGAAGTTGTTGAATATACTTACACAAATTCTATCAAACTACGTGCTCCAATCTTGTTGGAATGTTCAGTTTGGACTGTGAGTAGCCCGTGAAAATCGGATAAACTACATATATAGAAGAACATATCGATCGCATTTCTGGTTTCAAATCAGACTACCGAGTTGTATTCACTTCGTGAATATAAGGAGAGAATTAGATTCGTGAAATAGGATACATTCGCCTATATTACCTACTTTTATTCCCTCAGGTCTCGAGTGGGACATAGGGCGTCAGTACCACATCTCGAGCTCATTCGATTCTCCACTGTTCCCTTGAGCTGGCTCCACGACTATCTACAATCTTTTACCTCTTACTCATACGATCTCCTCTAGGTTAGCTTCAGACCTACAGGCAATTCGTCGTCCCGCATTCAGGTTCCACTCGACCGATATTACTAAACGGTCTCCTGAGCATATTTGTTGAGCAGTAGGTTCTTCATTGGCTCGTCACCAGAGTTTCTTGTTGCTAATTTTTTCCGACCATCTGATATTTAGTATGGAGGACAGCAGCCGATAAAAGTCTATAGTAACCTGTTGAAAATAGTTTCCGTGACGTGCGCGCCAGGTTTCTGGCCCATATGGAAGGACTAATTCAACATTGGTTCTGCGAAATTCGAATACAGTTCTATATGATGTAAAGTGAAGAAGATTTCTAAACCAATTCCAGAGTGGTGAAGTTCCACCTTGTCTTTCCGATGCATTCTGACTTTTATATCTTAATCCGTTCCACGTGGTCAGTTTATTCAACACAGTGATACAGTAATAATAACGGGATGGGATTTTGAGCTCAATTTATCCTGCTTTATATTAAGAAAATACAAAGTTGTTGCCTTGTAAATCTTGTATTACCTTTTCCGCGAGATTTTTTGATCCACTTACTATGTGATTTCTTTTTGGGGGGGGGGGTCAAGCAGTTGTAAGATAACAATTATTCTTTTCGCCTTTCCTATAAGCCTTCAGAATTTGGCCTTACATTCATTTGAATTATGACTAATTAGAAGCACTCTTCGTGGAATATTTCCAACGAATGTAATAATTTTTTGATTAGACACTAGTAACTAGTGTGACGTGTCTTTGGTGCAAAACCTGACTGATAGAATTTAGTTTGCACAAAAGAAAGGACTAGACACGTCACGCTAGTTACTAGTATCCAATCAAAATACCTACTACAGTCCTACAGGAGGTCAATCGCGAGCCCGAATAGCTCAGTGGTAACGTCTCTGACTACAGCGCTAGGTGACGCGGGTTCGAATCTCAGAAGGGACATGAGTTCCCATAGGGCTGCAAATACGCCTCGCAGATGAGTGCCACCTAGCACGAAACCTTGATCCAAGGCTTCCTGCGGGCGATCGCCTGCAACTATCTAATATCATCGAATGTAATAACTACTTACTACCGCTACTATCTAACTACTCATATCAACCAGTCAGTAGTATATGGCGGTTTAAATTTATGCTTGCTTTGTTGATTACCACTTATGGTGTCAAGCAGATCACATACAATGATTTGACTACTTTTAACTTCTAAAGAAAACCTACATTGAAATTTCACTTTGAACTGTACAAATTGTAATTTGTGAATTCGATCGAAATGCAATAATAAATAGTTTCTTCGATGTCTGTGTAAAAGGTATGTGAAATAACATTGTAGATCAGTAGGAAACTGACATCCAGTGGCGTTTAGTTTTCAATGGTTGATACACAAGTTGAGTGGAGAAGGTTTTGTGAGGAAGAAAATATAACAGCCTACGGACAATCGTGAATATTACAAAGACCATGATGAAATGCTACAGACAGCTTATGTTCCCCCCCCTCCCTCGTAACCCGAAGGAATAATAACAATCAATAATAAAACTTTTAAAATAACAGCCCCCCTTGTTATATAATATAGAATTTATTGATTAAATAATAATAGTAATCTTTATTGTTCGTTGATATGAAAGGAAAGAAGAATGAATAAAAGATTTAAGATAACAACAACACACGGGTGAACAACACTCACAACAGAGACTGAAACAAACAATAAGCAACCAAGATCAGCAGCAGCAGCATCATCAACAACGGGATATATTTCTTTTTTTTTTAAATAAAACTTAAAAGAATACCGACAAGAAGGCGAAAACAAATTTTGAGTGTATAAAAATTATGCTAGAAAGTGCCGATACTCACACACACACACACGCACATGAAATAAAGCAAGACTAGGGAACAAACCAACAGACAGACAAACAAATGAAAAAAGCAGTTGATACATATTCATGCCTTTTCACTTTATTGTTTGTTTGTTTTTTTCTCAATCAAGTATGCAACACAAAAGAGGATAACACAGAGAATAAGAAGGAAGAAGATAGTTGGATAAAACAAATGATGAAATGAATATCACCTATAAAGCATTTCCATAAACACTTTTATATATATATATATAGTAAGTAGTATGTGGTTATTTATTTATTTGCACCGGCAGACCAATATATGTGTATACATATAAGTATATAAGTAGTATAAAAATATATATAGAAAAGCGATGGACCATTGAAATAAATATGCACAAAAAGCAACTCTATAAACACAAAAGAGGAGAAAGCAAACATATTAATAGAGGAAGGTATACAAAAATAAAAGCTAGACATTGTTATTATTATTATTTGACAGATCAGTTAGTAGGTAAATATGAAGATGTATGCACCATAGAAACATACGCACGCACGCACACACACACGCACACATACATGACTAGTACAACAACAACTATTATACAGTCTGATTTATGTGATCGCCTCGATTGACGGATAATTCACAGATTTGATTAGGTGAAACATTTACAACAGGTAGATTTGTTGTTGTTGTTCTTGGTGTATTATTCTCATTGGCATCTTTTTGATTGAATGGTGTAAACTTTTCAGTAGTATTAGCATAAATTCGATCCCAACCGAATGGATGACGAGAACAACAAAAAGCATAACAATTCCATAAGTAACCCTATATATTATATACGTATATCATGAAAGGGAACAAGAAAAAAAACAACAAAAATATTATTTATTATTATTATCTATTAATGAAATCTCAGTAGTCTTAGTGATGAATAGTAAAAACTGTTTGAAAGTTAGTCAAACAAATGACAACAAAATGCACAAAAAGTGTGGCAGTTTAATTTGCCACACTCCATTTGTTATTGCATAAATTATTATTATTATTATTGATAATTACCAAATTAGTAGAAAGGCATCTGAATACATGCGAAAAATGGTCTAAAACCATACTCTCTGACCCCCAACACTCCTTCTATTCCCAATTCTCTCCATCTATCTCATCAGGTAGAACCAGAAATCAGTACAAAATAATATATGCTCGTACGAACAAGTATAGGAACTCAATGATACCATATTTGGCCAGCCCGTGTTCAAAGTGACAGAGACAATGTTAAGCGCGAAACCTATGACTTGCTTTGTTGTTAATAACATAATCTTAGGCTCTTTTATTTCTCCCTTATACTCTCTTATTTGTACTTTATAGTGAACAACCATCTTAAACTTACTTAGCTACCTAAATTATTAACATTGGCTTACTTTTTGTACTTTATTCTATTCCTTCTATCGCGAATCTACTGGTTCTCACTATATTATCACTATGTGTATTACAAAACTGCCCTGTCATTAACCATCATGTAATAATAGTTTTGTGATTGCTTTTTGTTCGGCAATGTTAACTGACAGTCTTGGCTGTAAACGCCGTTATCACCATCTTAAAATTTTATATTATGCAGGATTACTCACACTACCACTACAAACACCGCATTAGAGCTGACAATAAAAAACTCTGAAGTGTTTATTTTATGATTGTTTAGTGATGTTCAGTCAAACTAACTGATCATCTTGGCGATTAACATTCTTAAATATCATTTCATAACTTCTATGATTATAGCTTTACTGTTCACCACGCATAAACATATCATAGCTTTATTTACTATTTCTTGGTATTTTTTCGCATTTTTTTGTTATTTTTATGTTTTTGTTGTTTTTTTTAAATTTAATTTTTTTAAATACTCCTTTTAAATGTTTGATAAAATTACATGCAATAGTGTAGATATGTGCTGAAAATTGCACAATGTAGCACTAGTACTGTTTCTGGAATAAAGTAAAATTATTACTGTTATTATTATTATTATTAAAAGCATATCCACTGCGGTCCTATTAAGCTGCTCTCCCGACTACCCACAGTCCCTAATCTCCTTCATGTCACTCTATCAACAAGCCCAACCAATCATTTCATGTTCGGACATGCATTGCGCACGATATCATTCAACAAGTCTCCTCAGCATGAGTCTAATCCATTTCTACTTTCTCCCGAAAACTTGTTGAGCAATAGGTTCATGATTGATTTTTTCCCCAGAGATTCTTGTTCCCATTTCTTTCTGACTGGCTATCTGATCTTCAGTACGCAGCAAGCGAAGACAGCTTTAGATAAAAGTTTACAGTCTGTTTGAAATACTTTTCACAACAAGTAAGACATGTTTTTCACCCATATACAAAGACTAACTGACTTAACATTGGTGTAGAAAATCTGAATTTTGTTCCTTACATAAGGATTTACAAAGCGATTTCAGAATGATGCAGATATTGTTTGCCATTTTGTGGCAGTCTGGATTTGAAATCCTCATCCGTTTTATCTCCTGTAGTTGAAAAAGGATACTTCATGCATATGTGAGAGAAGTTACCACTTTCAAATTTCTACCGTTGACAGTGATATCACAGAAAGGTAGAGAAAACTAAAAATTCACAGGAACAAGAATAAACGTAAATGTACAGATGAAAGTTTAAGTACGTGAAAAACCAGGAGGATTCAATCGATCTGAGAGTTCATAAACAATCGATGCATATTTGCCATTCAGAAGCACTTTGAGTCATATCGTCAATCGTCTTAAGCCATAGGTTCCTAACAATTCGAGGATCCCGAGACGTAGATCACGCACACCAATAGTCAGTAATTTCATGGAATGATGCCAAGCGTTCACTCAACAATTCATCCTTAATGCTTTTTAAATCTAATTTTATGCTAGTTAACATTACGCGGAGAGGAAGGGGATGGTTTGGCATGAATTACAAGTGAGTTGAAACCTTTCTTCCCATCACGTGGTGTGTTCAAATGATGATATAGGACTAAATGGTGAAAGTACTCAATTCAAAGTGTGGCACAGTTGAGTCGTTTTCTTATAAATTATCAACTTGTAAAGATGAGGACGGGAGTGAGGCAAGGCTGTCTACTATCACCAATGATCTTCCTGATTGCAGTAGATTGGATAATGAGACAGACAACGGCGGGGAATGAGGAAACAGGCATTAAATGGACTCACATAAAAAACTTGGAGAATGTAGACTTCGCCGATGATTCGCCATCTTATTTCCCACAAACTGGAAGATATGCAAGTGAAAAGCAACAATTCGACAGAGGAAGAAGCATCAAAGTTAGGACTTCACTACAGGTGAACATAGAGAAAACAGAGGTGATGAAGATTCCTGGCCAACACCAACAGCGAAAACAAAAGACAACAATCAGTATAAATGGGAGGAACCTGAAAGAAACAACCTCCTTTACCTAACTGGGAAGCACCGTTTCAACTATAGGCCAGCGGGACTGACGAGGATATCAAAGCCAGAATCAGAAAAGTAAGACAAGCTTTCACTACTCTTAAGTCTGTGTGGAGGTCAACAGCACTCACCATCAAAAATAACATCCGGATTTTCAACTCCAGTGCGAAGTCAGTGCTAGTATACGGATCAGAGACTTGGCGCATCATAAAGAGCATCTCAAACAAACTTCAGACCTTCATTAACAGTTGTCTTCGCTTAATTCTCAAGATCAGATGACTGGCCAGAAAAGGTCAGAAACAGAGAGGGATCTCTGGGAGTGAACCAATCAGGAACCGATTGTGAAACGAGTAGGCAGGAAGAAATGGAGATAGATTGGCCATACGCTAAGGAAACCATCAAGTGACATCACTAGACAAGCCATCGCTCGAGTGGAACCCGGTTGGGAAGCGGCGAGTTGGTCGCCAGTAGAAGGGTGACTTGGAGGAGGTTATGTGAAGAGGAAATGAAAGCATGTGGGCAGACTTGGAGCGGAGTGAAGAAGTTGGCAGAAAACCGAAGGCAATGGAGACGCGTGGCTGAAGCCCTATGTTCCTCTAGGAATTAAAGGATATAGTAATAAGAATAAAGTTGAGCCATATATGGCAGAAAATTATTTGACTATTTGTACTATCATGAATGGTTACGCTTTATAGACCCGATTCATAGCCAAGCCAATGAATATACACATATGCGCACATTTGCTGGAGATCTCATCGATGGAAATGGGCAAACGAACTAATAGCTTTATGGTACAAATTTGTATACCAGTATATAAAGTGATGGAATCAAAGTTTTTACAACTTCTGTAGTACAATATTTAGTGACTAAGAGAATCAGACATCAAAAAGGGAATTATAATGAAAATACCCATCATTGAAAAGTTTATCTTGCGTAGAATAATAAAATAGATATTGTATATTGCTAAGTGAGACAGTAGAATCAGTGGTTCAAATATCCGAATTCTAAATAACAGATTATTGTTACGAAGTCTCTTTGTTTTATCTGCCGAATGAGTAGACTAAACTAGCCAGGACAGATATCTTTCATATACCAGGTTATAAGTCATATAATTATTGAGTGTAAGTGTTGATAATACTTAGTACCCAAATTCCAAGACTGAAGTAAGTGGAAGGGTGGACGAAATGCCCATCCTGGATCGTACTGCTAGTTAATTAAATGCCCAGAAATAGTCGAAGCACCTCTACAAGAAGCCGACATGTCAACCTGACACCGAGCACTTCAGTCCAATCAATCAACAGGAAAATCAAAAATTCAATTAAATTAATATGACCCGTAGCACAACAGATGGCTCTTGTGGCCCAAGTAGTCTAGTGGATAACGCTTTGGAGTTTGAGACTATGGGCACTGAGTTCGAGCCTCGGTGGGAACATCACACTCACTGAGAAATGCAGATACATCCGGTTGATGAGTTGCGAAATGGGACGAAATATGCATCCTGGATTCCACTGCTAGTCACCATCCACCAATTAAATAATAATTAAGTGGGAGGGTATTCAAACACTGGAGCTACTGACTAAAAGTCAAGCGAATACGATTCACAACTTGTAAATCTTATACAGTTCGAAAAGAAATTTCACCATAGTTCTCCTTTGAAAACCGAAAACATTCAGATTACAATCTGTGATCTGCATAATACCATAAATGCCAATCAAGTAAGCAAGCATAGATACATGATGACACATACTATTGACTGAATGGTATAAGTAGTTAGATACGACTCAAACTAATCGGTGCAGTGCCTTCTAACTAGATCTAAACCAGAGGGTTGAGCACATGTCAATCAATCATTAGTACATGACAACATGTATTTTCGCTTGCTTTCTTGATTGCCAGTTATGCTATCAAGTAGTTCACACATTGTATATCTGAATAATTTCGGTTACCAAAGGTAACAGTAGTGATCTGATGCTCACTAACAACTGGTCCTATTCAGGCAGTAACCTGGGATTCTAGTGAGAAGCCGTGACCATTAGGGTAGAGCGGGTCGGGTATCAGAACAAATACTCGCCATCAATGACATTGGCTAGTGGTCGCGCTATGTCGTGAACTGGCAGAAGTTGGAATTCACGGGCCATTGCAACGAATCCCAGTAGCTTAATGGTCTACAAGCTCGCCTTATAACTAAAAGGTCTTGGGTTCGAACCCTGGTGGCGCGTGCGTACAGCTAAAGAGTCCCAGACTAGGACGAAGCATCTGTCCAATACTCCCAGGTTTCTCAATGGTTCGCTGACTGATGTCAGATCATGATGAAATCCCCCAACCAACCAAACAAAATCCCTACAAAACCAATACTTGAAAATTTAACTTCCTCGAAGTGTACAAATAGGA